GTTGGTTAAAAATTCCTTCCAGGATGGGAAGGGCTCAACTGAGTCACCCCAAAGTGTTTTTCTCCCCTCCAGAATGGTCTCAGCTGCGTCAGCAACTTCCTCTCCCACCAGGACAGAGCTGATCACCCTTGGCCCCCCATGTCCCACTATATGCACTCAGCTAATATTTACTGAGGCCCAACTACACGCCAGGGACTCTGCTAGGCACTGGGCATACATCAGGGAAGGCAGCACGGATCCCTACCCTAGGGGCATGAGCATCCTAGCAGGGGCGTCTAGGAACATATAGCTCTGTCCTCAGACCCCCATTATGCCACTTCATTTAACATCCTATAATCTGGGGCGCCTGCGTGGCTCAGTTAAGTGTCTGACTCTTGGTTTCAGCTCAGATCATGGTTTCAGGGTTGTGAGATGGAGCCCCACGTCTAGCTCTGTGTTCAGCTCAGAGTCTGCTTGGGATTCTCTCCTTTTCCCTCTCCTTCTGCCCCTCCCCCTCTGCCCCATTCCCTGCTCTTATGCTCTCTCTCTTTCTAAAATAAATCTTAAAAACAAAAAAACCCAACATCCTGTAATCCAAGGCTGACACATGTTTTGGTGGTGACATATTCCTCAGCAGGCATTTCTATTTGCCAGTTCAAGTGGCTGCCATGTGGCAAGAAGGTAAACACACAATTTAGGAGACCCACAGGGAAGGAGGCATTGGGGTGAGAGACTGGCATTCTTTCAGATTTTATGCATATCGGGGCCTTTATTAATACTTTTACACCACTGTTTTAAAGCCACATCATTCAGTTGTGTACGAAGATGACAGCCGTGTTGTAGCTAAGCCTCTACCTCCCCCTCTAGGTCGTGGGAAAGATCAACAGGGCCTGCGACACAGCCAGGTGGGGCTGGAGATGAAAGGGGCAGAGGCATATAGGCAGGGCCTGGCCTGTCCCCAGCTCCTCCACACCACCCTTCCTGAGTCCTAGGGGGCCTCTTAACCCACAGCCTTAACCTGAACTTTGAAGCCTCCAGGGAGAAACTCACTTTTCACAGCATGGCCCAGGACAGGCGGGAGCTGCTGCAGCCGAAAGCCCTGACCAGAGCCCTCAGTTTGGATTTTTGGGGAAACTGGAACACGCAGCAAGTAGGTCTGCAACAGAGCGAGGACAGAACTAGCCTAGAACTATAGATTCCCAGCCTGGAATCGGTTCTGCCATGGCCCAAGCCCTGCTCCACGTTTCATCCCCTACTGCCCTGTCCTGCAGGATGCCTCCTCCAGGAAGCCTTCCCAGATCCCCTCGGCTCTACGCCCCTCCTGCCCCCCATCACAATACCGTGTCTATTCCTCAGTCAATACCAGCCCCGCTCCCCCAGGATTTGGTACCAGTGACAGTCTAAATGAGTGGCCAGCAAGGAGGGAGTGAAGATCTGTCCCCACCCTCAGGCTACTGACTGGGTACTGACTTGTCCACACACACTTAGCACTGGCAGTTATCTTCTGCTACCATCTGCTTTTTTTTTTTTTAAGATTTTATTTATTTATTTATTGGAGAGAGAGAATGAGAGAAAGAGAGAGAGCATGAGAGGGGGGAGGGTCAGAGGGAGAAGCAGACTCCCCGCTGAGCAGGGAGCCCGATGCGGGACTCGATCCCGGGACTCCAGGATCATGACCTGAGCCGAAGGCAGTCGCTTAACCAACTGAGCCACCCAGGCGCCCCCAGGTCCTCCTGCTCTTGGGCAGCTCAATTCCCCTCTCTCAGCCTCAGTTTCTTTAACTGAGAATGGGTCATCTCCAGAGTAATTTAGAAACTAAGTAAGAACAAACAGCAAGGTACGTCATAAAGCTCTGTAATAACCTAAGAGGGCTCTGGATACAACCCACACCTACTACGTGCCGGGCAGTCACCCTGATCACTCTCCCCTGGGAGGAAATGGCATGGTGAGCCTCCCCATTTTACACCCGGGACAGCGATGCTCCGAGGTTATGTAACTTAAGATTACTGAGTCCTGGAGCTGGAACTGGAACTCAGGTCAAACTCCATCCACCTCCTATGCTCCTCACACCCCCGCCTACAACCGGCGGCTGCCAATGGTGTTCCAACAGCTCAACAAGGGAACAATCCTTCCAGGCTGTTTCCCAACCCTCCGACCTCAACCCCTGATTGGAGAGTGGGACAAAATGACAGGGGTCGCTGAGGCGGGTTCGGGAAGGCCGGGGCTGGGAGTCCGCCTGCAACCCCCTGAACCACAACGGGCCTCTGTTTCCTCATCCGTTAAACGGGGGCCCTATTACTGCCCCTCAAGCGGTGGCAGTTTCAAGAATCACCAGACGTGGCCATGAATGACAAAGCTCGCCTGGGCTCTTGCAGGGTGGGAACCGCCCTCGCATCTCTCCGGGTCCCCACCTGTCACCTGGAGACACCCCTTCTTCGCCCCTCTTCCCTAGGCGTGGAGGGGAGAGCGCAGGTCGCCACCCCACCTCAGTTTCCGCGCCAGCCCCGCGCTCACCGGGGGTCCGGCTGCCATCGCTGAGCGGGTGCCACGGGTCGCGGTCGGTGGCCACGAGGAGGCAGTCGGGGTCGCGCAGGTGCGCGCACGCCTCGCTCAGCTTGGCGAAGGAGAAGTGCTCGTCGTAGCCCACGAGCACGGCGCGCACGCGCGGGGCCGCGCCCGGGTCCTCGCCGGGGTCCCCCGCCAGGCGCAGCCCCGCGGCGCGCAGCTCGGCGCGGAGCCCCTCGCCGCCCAGCACGAACACCGCGCCCGGCGGCCCGGGCAGGCGCTGGCGCAGCAAGCGCGCGGCGCACAGCGCGGAGCTGAAGACCTGCTCGGCGCGCAGCCCCCCGAAGCCGAGGCGCGCGAAGCGGAGAGCCAGCTCGGGCCGCGCGCGCCGGCTGTTGTTGCTCACGAACAGCGCCGCCTTGCCGGCCCGCGCCAGCCGCTCCAGCAGCTCCGGGGCGCCCGGCACGGCGCGCTCGCCGTTCCACAGCACTCCGTCGCAGTCGAACAGGACCCCCTGCGTCCGGCCCAGCACGTCGCGCAGGGCCGCGCCGCGCAGCCGCTCGCAGCGCGCCATGCAGCCGGTTGGCCGCCTGCTCCCCCGCGCCGCGCCGCGCCGCGCCGCTCTCCTTCTGCGGGCACGGCGCGCTTGCCCTCAGCCCGCCCCGTTCCCCGCAGCGACCAATCGGCGCGCCGGAAGGGCCACGGGGCGGGGTCACGGCCTGGTCCGCGCGCCAATGGGGGCGAGAACCTCGGAGAGGAGCGAGGCCTCTACCTAACGGAGCGGGGAGAAAAGGGTAAATCTCGGCCGCCGCTGAGGGGAGGAGACCAATGAAGACCTAGCTTTCGCCCCGCCCCCTAGCTCTGCTAGGCCAGTCGCCGCCGAGTTTCAACCCCGACTAGCCAATTAAAGGATGGACTGACGTTCTTCTTGGCCAATAAAGAGTTATGAATAGAAAATCTGGAGCGATTAGCCTCCCTTGCGTTCCCCAGCCAATCGGAAGCTTAGGAGAGCTGGTTGCTAGGAGGAAAACATGCTAACGGAGATGTTGCCTTTGGGTCAAATCTCATTGCCCTCTGAACCCTGGACGCTCCAGTACTGAGCCAAGGCCTGAGAAGCGTGTCGGTATGATGATGGGAGAGAGGCACATAGTGTCTTCTCGAGCGCGGGGGTCCCTGGCCCAGACCAGTCGTTCTCCACGCTGGCTGGTAGAGTCCCCTGGGGAACTTATGTTTTGAGATTTAATTTACATACAAGTAAGATGAGCAGATCTTAAATGTACGGCTCGATGACTTTGACAAACGCTTTTTAAAAATATCAAAGCATGGCTGCACCCCAGAGATTCTGATTTAATTGTTTTGGGTGGGGCGGAGATATTTTCGGTTTTTGTTTTTTAATTACCCAAGGCCAGGGTGGGGAGAGGCACTGGGTCACCAAGCTGCCAGAGGCAGCCAATCACTAAGCACCCTGGGGATGGAAGGAGCCAGAGCAGTAGCCAGTTGCCCAGGGCAGCGATTGGGGTGATGTGGCTGCCTCGGCCCCCACCTGGGGAGGCATGTGTCACAATTCCAAGTTGTCAGCCAACTTCTGAGAAGGCGCTGGAGACCTGACCTCCAGGAGCAACCAGAGCTCCAGAGGCCTGGGAAAAGCCACCCTATCGTGTCCCCCCTCTCTGAGGCTCAAATAATTCCTGTTCCCCAATGCCCTGGCCTTTGGCTCCTGTCTCAGGTAGTCTCCTTAGCTTGGAATGTTCTTCCTTCTTCCCTTTTTCACCTGGTCAACTCCTAAAAGCCTCCTCTTTGAATCACCTCTTTCCACGAAGCCTTCCTGTGCCCTCCACACAGAGTTTGGGTTAGCTTGTCAGCCCCTAACTGGCTTGCCATGGGCTCCTAGCGCCATTACGCTTGGTTCTGATTGTCAGCTCTCCTGCCTGTCTGTTCCCGGGAGCTCCTTGAGCGTAGGGCTGAGCTGGGGCCCTGGCCCAGGGTCCAGCACGGAGCAGCCACCGTGGTTTGCAGACGGATCCAGCCCTGCAACTTGAGTAGCCTTTCCTGCCTACTCTGAAAACACCAGGAGTTGGGGGAGCTGACATCCACCGCAGCCAACTCTTAGGGTGCTTCTGTGTGCAAGGGTGGTGCTTTGGTCTTTACAGGAATGTCTCGTGTAATCCTCAGAACACTCCTGGGGTGGAGATGGCTGTACCGTTTCCCAGATGAGGAAACTGGAGCACTAAGAAGTGAGTTGCTCAGGCTGTGAGGGACAGGCCCAGGCTCTGGAATTGGCGAGAAATGGGTCCTGATTCCATGTCCACGCCTCACTTGCTGTGTGCCTGGCAGGTTGCTTTCTGAGCCTCAGTCTCTCCTCAACCAGTCAAAGGTAATGGGACTTACTTTCCCGGGAGAGGATTCTATGGAAACCATGCATGGAAAAGCACAGTGGAGAGCGCAGAGTAAGCGCTGAAAATGCTGGCCCTTTTTCTTTCAGATAGGAAGAAAGGAAGGAGGCAAAGAAGAGGAAGTATCTTCCCTTTCATGCAAGTGGCTTCTTTATTTTGAGGGCCGAAGAAACAACCCAACTATCATTGGGGCAGCTGCTCTAGTTTTGTCCAAAATAATTTATTTACCAGCCTTACAAAACAATCTGTTGGCAAGAGAAAAATAACAGTCCTGTAGGAGCAGGCAAGCCCCTCCTTCCTTCCGGCCGCTCCCCGGGGACCCTGCCAGAGAGCTGCGAGTCGGGTGAGGGATCCCCAAGCCCAGGGTGGCTGCAGAGGGAAAGGTCTGGAGGTGGAGGACTGTCCTGAGTCCTCCTTGCCATGGGGGCCGACCCAGCGGGCACCGAGGCACTTGTAGGCAAAAGCTGGAGGCCCCCACCCCGGGGAGGGGTGAGGGCTGTGTCCTGGGCGGACAGGTGGGAGGGAGGAGATGCTGAGGGGCTGCTGCGGAGGGGCAGCCCGCTCAGTCGGTCTCTGAGGCAAGGCTCCTGGGCCGGGGTTGAGGGGGGATGGCCGGGGGAGTGGAGGCCCCGCCTACAGCCTCAGGGGCCCCTCCCTCCTCTGGGGCCGCCCCCAGGTCCACCTGAGCAGGAATGCTCAGAGCAGGGCTGGGGGAGGCCGGCCCTGGGGAGGCGGGGCTGGGGGAGGCTGGTGAACGCCGGCTCTGGCGCCGGGCGGGCTGGGGAGGATTGGGGGGCAAGGGGGGTGGCACTGTAGGGGCCCGGAGGTTGCTGCTAACCAGACGGCGGGGCAGAGCCTGGGGGATCACAGGGCTGCTAGAGCCAGGCGGCAGGAGTGGGGCTGGAGGGGAGGAGCGCGTGCTGGAGACCTGGGGGGGCGGCATGGTGGGCCGGGCTGGCGCTTGGCGCTTGGCTGTGGAGGAAGGACAGGGGCAGTTAGGCATCCACCTCAGGACCTTTGTATCTGCCATTCCTTCTGCCCGGAATACTGTTTCCACGGTTGGCTCCTCATCACTTCGGCCTCTCTTTATGGGCCTCACCCCCTCAGCCAGAGTACCCCTTCCCCTGCCCTGCTCCAGGTACTGTCATATTTTCCTGTTGTATCTTCATAGGGCTTTCTGCCCCCTGAAAGGAGCATGTCCGTTTTTATTTTGCTCGACTCCCTGATGAGAAGGTAAACGAAGTGAGGCCATCCTATGTGAGGTTGCCTAGCACAGTGTTGGGGGCACGGAGTGGGTGTTCAATATGTATTTGTTGAACAAAGAAATGCTAGCTGTCCCCCCTGACTCTGGGGTCTTGCTCACCTCTCAGGAGCCCACCAGAAACCCCCCACCCTAGTTTTCAGAGATCCCACCGCACTGTTCCAACCTCATGAGGCAGCTGAGGGGCCAGGAGGCCTGACTCTGGTCCTAGCCTTGCCTCCACCCACTGTGGGTTTTGGGCAAATCACATGCCCCCTGGGGCCTCAGTTTCCTCATCGGGGAGATGGGATGCAAGCCTGGACCTCCCAGGGCTGGCACGAGGACCTTTGGGCACTTGAGGTGCTATGCTCCAGTGAGCACATATCCCTAGACGCCCCATCCTGCAGGAAGGTCCCTCTGTGATTTGTCAGCTGTACCCCCCATGTAGAAAACTCCAGTGCCTCTTGGGCTGGTTGGGCCCTCCCAAGTGTCCTGGTCCCTAGCAGGGTCTCCCCATCTGAACCCTGGGCCTTCTCACCTGCTTGGCTTTAGGCCAAGTCAACAGGTACGTGCACCAGAGGGGCACAGGGGAGCCCCAAATTGCTTCTCACCACCACCACCTCCCCCTCTCGTTGCCCTTTGAAGCCTCCATCCCCCTTCCCTCCTCTTCACTCCACTCTCTGGACTTCTGGAGGGGCGGACTCCACAGCCCCCCACCCCCCGTGAGGCCTGAGCTTCATCGAGCATGTACTGTGTGCCAGGTGTGAGTCAGGCAGCACCATTTAACAAACTGCCCTACAGAGCAGGTGTGGTTACCGCTCCATGACGCAGAGGAGGAGGGGCAGACATGGTGCAGTCACCTGCCCAAGGTCACAGATCTGGAATCTGAACCAGAGTGTCAGGCAGCAAACCTGTGCTCTTGGCCACCTGGATTTCTGGCCTCGCCAGCTATCTGAAAACATGGGCCCTCTCCCTGCGCACCTTCTTTCCCCTTCTCTCTCCCCCTGCCAACTTACTCCTCCGAGCCACGTCCTCCGCTGGAGTGGCTGCCTCCGAGGGACTGCTACTGACCTTGGGAGAGGCTGGTCTGGGGGACACCTCGGACTCTGCCCTGTGAAGGAAGGAGAGGGTCAGGGTCAGGCTTGGCCGCCTCTCAGGAGTCTCCTGGAATCTTGGAGAGACTCGCAGCCAATAGGCCGAGTTTGGGTTCTCCCAGGACTTGTCCCCTGCCACCTTGTGGCGGGGCCTGGGATCTGTCCCCAGGCTGCCCCCATCTCCCCAGAAGATGCTTCTGGCATTGGCCAGGGTTTGCATCTCCACTGAACCCCTGGCTTCCGTGTGACCCTGTGAGAGGGTCCGTGGATTCCTGTGGGCCAGGAAGGCAGGTAGAAAGCAGGGCCTGGGCTTTTAACCTCCATCTGAACCTCAATGGATTTTCTGGCCACTAGAAGCCAGACAGCGGATGAGAAGCAGAAGGGGGGGCGGCGGGCATGGCTCATTCCTGGCTTCCTCCAGCTCTTTGCTCAGTTGGCGCCTCCTTAGGGATCCCCACGCTAAAGCAGCTGCCCAGTCCAGCCCCCTATCCTGCTCTCTCCTCTTCTGTGAGGGCACGAGTCACTGCCCAGCACGACAGTATCCATCTTGGCATGCTTGGTGACTACCCCCCCCAAGGAAAAGCAAGCGCTGAGGGCCGCGTCTGTCTGTCTTGCTCATCTGAGGAAAGCCTGGGGTTGGGCCCCGGCTGTGTGAAAGCAAGCTACGACTGCTTGGTACAGAGCCATGGTACCTCCATGGCACCACGGAGCCTTCCAGATTGCAAGGATCAAAGAGAAGACTGGAAGGTATGTACAAATTCCAGCTGACCAGCCCCCTCCTTCCCTGAATCCCCAGGGCCTCAAACAGGGCCCAGCACAGAGCAGGTAGGTGCTCAGTAAACAGCCACATACCAAACGAGGGAGCACATCAGAGGCTGAGAGGAATATCGCTTCTGAGTCTCCACCCCAGCCCCTCCAAATGGGGAAACCCCGGTATTTGGGATGAAAATACAATAATCAGGGGCGCCTGGGTGGCTCAGTTGTTAAGCGTCTGCCTTCGGCTCAGGTCGTGATCCCAGGGTCCTGGGATGGAGCCCTAAGTCGGGCTCCCTGTTCGGCGGGAAGCCTGCTTCTCCCTCTCCCACTCCCCCTGCTTGTGTTCCCTCTCTCACTGTGTCTCTCTCTCTCTGTCAAATAAATACATAAAATCTTTAAAAAAAAAAAAGAAAAGAAAAGAAAAGAATCGAATTTCCTAAAATCTTACTGGAAGCCCTGAGATGGTGCCTCAGGCTGACGTCTTGGGGCAAAGAGGGGGATCAGTCATATCTGTCAGTCCTTACCTTTCCTTGGTAGCTGCAGAGGCCGGGGCTGGAGCTGGGGCCGGAGCTGGGGCCGGAGCTGGGGCCAGAGCTGAGGCGGCCGCAGCAATTGCTGGAAGCTCCTCAGCAGCTGGCCTGTTGCTGACCTTGTCCTGGGGGCCAGGGGATGAGAACAGGCCTGACACGTTGAAATTGACGTCTGCAGACAGAAGGAAGCAGGTCTTAACTTCCAGAACCTCCGCCAGTGTCAGGACCACTTGCCCTTTCCCCTAACATCCGGCTCCCACCCGAGCCTCACAACAATCCCACAAGGTAGGCAGGATCATCCCCATTTTACAGATGAGACACGGAGGCTCAGAACAGAGAAGCAATGTGCTCCAGGTCTCGTAGTGAGTTCGTGGGGCTGGCAGGGACTGAAACTGAGTCTGGAGGGCACTGAGTTGGGCAGATGAGGGTGCAAAGAGACATGTTCACAGAGGCAGGCACTTCGGGACGCCTGGGTTGTTCAGTGGGTTAAGCATCTGCCTTCGGCTCAGGTCATGATCCTGGGGTCCTGGGATCGAGCCCCGCATCGGGCTCCCTGCTCAGCGGGGAGTCTGCTTCTCCCTCTCCCTCTGCCCCTCCACCCCTGCTCTGCTTGCACTCATGCTCTCTCTCTCATAAATAAATAAATAAAACCTTAGGAAAAAAACACAACAACCCGACAAAAAACAAAGGCAGGAACTTTACCTCCAGGGAAGAGGGTGTTGGCGCTCTGTATCAGAGCCTCGACCACGCCTACTACCTGGATGGAGGACACAGAGGCTGCATCTAGCTGGGCCTGGTCCCTAGGGGAAGAGGGAACAGAAATGAGCTGCCCATTTCCTAAAGTCTTTGTGACCCCACCTCTCTTTCCAGCCCAATCGCATCAAGTGCCTGTTCTCAGAAAGCTCACAGACGGGCGCCTGGGTGGCTCCGTCGGTTAGGCGTCTGCCTTTGGCTCAGGTCACGATCCCGGGGTCCTGGGATGGAGCCCTGAGTCAGGCTTTCTGTTCACTGGAAAGTCTGTTTGTTCCTCTCCCTCTGCCCCTCCCCCTCTCCTGCTCATGCTCTCTCACTTTCAAATAGATAAATAAAATCTTTAAAAAAAAGAAAGCTCACAGACCACCAGTGGATGGCCAGCGTGTTGCTCACATGTCCAGTGCTCCCCCCTCTCCTTCACCCACGACAGGGCCTCATGAGGGCAAGATGGTCCCCTTTTCCTCACAGTTCTTGGCTCTGAGCCTCTACAGAGGAATCGTTCTCAGCAAATGAATGAAATCTTTTGCTATCTGTGGCCAGGTGCATTATAATGACCCCTCCCATACCACATACAGCACTTTGCAGCTTATAAACCATTTCTCCATTCATTATCTCATCTGGTTCCCAAAGCAAAAAGCCTCAAAGTTTGTATAATTTCTCTCCAATTTGCAGGTGAAGAAATGGAAGTCCAGAGAGTGACTTCCAAAGGCATTTGTGAAAGGGCGAGGGGGTGAGGCTAGAACCAGATCTCTGGACTGCCAGCCCTCCAAGCACCCCACTGCCACCCTCACCCAGGACGCCTAGCTGTCCTGTGGGGTCCACGTTCCCTTTGGGCTGCTCCTCACGGCAAGCTTTGAGACTAGGAGCTGCTCAACCCACCGCAAGGATGGGGAGGCTGAGGCCCAGGGGTAAAACAGGCAGCAGACAGTTGGGGTGGAGACTGCCCCCTTCCCCCAGGCCACAGCCCCTACCCTTCTTTCTCGGGGGGCCACAGCAGGTTGGGCCCCAGGACGATGGCGATGTTGCTGGGCGTCATCTTATTCACCTCCTGCTCCTCAGCCAGCCGTGCCAGGAACTTCATCAGGTACCTGGGGAGGCAGAAGGTGGGCTTGGTCAAGGACAGGGCCACGAACACCCACTGATGCCCCTGAGGCCTGGGAATTTCTCAGCCTGGGGTTTCCCAAGAGTGGCAAAGGTCCCCCTCAGGATGCTTTAAACTTTTTTTTTTTTTTTAAATGTTATTTATTTATTTGGCAGAGAACAAGAGCGAGAGCGGGAGAGAGTGAGTGAGCACAAGCAGGGGAAGTGGCCGGCAGAGGGAGAAGCAGGACTCCTGAGCAGGGAGCCCGATGCGGGGCTCGGTCCCAGCACCCTGGGACCATGACCTGAGCCGAAGGCAGACGCTTAACGACTGAGCCACCCAGGCGTCCCTAAAATTTTTTAACAGTTAAATGAGCTGACCTGCTGAGTGCCACGTGTGTGTCAGGCGCTGAGCTAAGCTGAGAATCTCCCTCCCTGCCCTGCGGGGTAGGGACTGCTGCGCTCCATTCCCCAATGAGGGCACTGCAGCACAGAGAGCTCAGATCACCTGTCCAGGGCCACACAGTGGCAGAGGGGGGACTTTCAAACCAGGTGGCTTGGCTTCAAAGGTTCTAGGTGTGTGTTTAGCTCGATGTCTAGTATGAAAAACATGACTAGCACAACTTGCCTACGACAAGGGGGCGGGCTCAGGCTCACCTGAGGTTGCTGAGGTTCTCCTGGGGCAGGCGGCTGCACACCTGTTGGAGGGCCTCCAGCCGGGCCCCTGGCTCCTTCAGGCTGGGGAGGGGGAGAGACCTGGTGAGCCAGTCCAGGGCCCCAGGGTCCCACCCCTGCAGCCCCGCCCTCCCCAGCACCCCCCCCAGCACCCCCCCCACCTCACCTGGCTGCCCTCATCCAATCGTCATAGAGGTCAAAGGTCATCAGGGGCTCTGGCAGCTCCCGCAGATAGGACTTGAGGGCACCTGAAGTCGTGGCAGGGGTCTTGGACACAGTCCCTGAAGCCCCCACCTCCACCCTGGTGCCCAGCGCTTTCTGTTAGGAACCAGGCCTTTGTTCACACTAACATGACCAGGTCTGATCATTTCTTTGGGCTCTGGGCCTTTTGAAGAAAATGATGATGTCTAGCGGACCTGTTCCCAGGAAAATGTACGCGCACCGCAGGGGGTTCATCATGCCCCCCCCCCTTTATAGACCCCTATGTCTCTCGAGGTGTCGATTACCAGGCCTTCACAGCCAAACTATCATGGGAGCGTTTCACGCAGCTGCAGGGAAGGGATTCGCGGGGGAAGGCCCTCCTCCCCAGGCTCCTGGGAGCAGGCACCTGCTACGGCGTGGGGGTCAGAGCAGAACTCCTGCAGGCTGCGGGGGTCCGAGGCCATGGTCTGCTTGAGGCGCTTCAGCACTGAGGCTCCGGCCGCCAGACGGAAGAGGCCCTGGGGTGCGAGAGGAAATGGGCAGGGGGGTCATGGAAGGGTGGGCAGGGGAAGAGGTCCTGGCTGGGAGGCCCTGGCTCGCCCGGGGTGGGCGCCTGGCCCTCATGGGGCCCGGGTCCCCAACCGGTCAGATGGGCAGCGTGGGGGTCACGGTGTGCATGGCTGCCCTCACTCTCAAGGCCTAGGATTTGGCACAAAGTGGGGAGTCTGGGAGGAGCTGGGAAAGCGGTGGGGAGACAGGTGTCTGGTTAGGAGTGGGAGGGAGAGAAGAGGCCCAGCCGCGCTGAGAGGAAGCCCAAGTGGGTCTTCGAGTAGGTTCCACCTCCTAAAGGTCTGTCCTCAGGAAAGGTGCTGATGGACGAGCGACAGCCTGGTGCACTGGATGGATGCAGGCCGCCTGCAGCAGGGACTGCACGGGGGCCCCAGGCTTTACTGCCACCCTCTCGTGTGCCTCTGGGCATGTTTTCCTTGTGGCCTCCGTCTCCCCCCTTGTGAAAGGGAGCCAGTGAAGGCTCCTGCGAGGGCTTCTGGGATTACTAAATGGAGCAAGAAACGTAAAGGCTCTACAGCACAATGGCTGCTTCACGAGCATCCCTAAGTGGGAGCTGGTGTCCGTTTGGCAACAGGAGGCCGTGGCCTCTAATGGTGGGACCTGGGCTCTAATGGTGGGATTACAGCACCAGCACGGGGCAGCCGGTGGGAGCTGTGGACAGAGGGAGGGCCCCAGGGCTCCTGCCCACCCCGCCCCCATGGGCCCCACCTCTTCCTTCATGCCCTCAGAAAGCAGCATCATGACGCAGGCCTCAATGGGCAGGGCGATGTCCCGGCCCAGGTCTTGCAGGTGGGTGGCCAGTGACACCCCATACACCCTGAAGAAGGGGGCGGCCGTCATCGAGGGGGAGGGGTCTGCGGGGACGAGACAGATCAGCGGCCCAGGGTCCTCCCCTCCCTGGCAACCAGGCCAGGGCACCCCCAGACGTCCGCGAGGGCTACTGCTTTGGCCAATGGTGCCACCTCCCACCCAGCCATCCGTGCCACATAACCTGAAATCGCCCAACATCTCTCTCGAATCCACCCACCTTCACCGTTTCTACCCCAGTCCAGGCCACCGCCCCCTTGCTTCTGCTTCCTGAAGGTCTCCTGACTCCTGTCTTGCCCCTTCACTCCATCCTCTACCCAGCAGATGACCTCTCTATCACAAATCTAATCAGAACTAATCTGCTCAGAAATCATCCATGGCTCCCTAGGGCCTTTCAGGATGGAGTGCAAGCTTCTTAACATGTCCGGAGCAGGGCTGGGGTCGGGGGTGCAGGGCCAGGTCCTGCTTCTGTCCCCACCTGCTTGGCCGTGGTTCTCCCTCAGCTCAGCCAGGGCTGTGTCCAGCGAGCTCAGAGACTTGCGATGGTAGTCAGCTTGAATCTCCATGAGCTGTGGAGACAAGGGGGCACCCCCAGGGGGAGTGAGGGATGCTGCGCCTTCCCGGAGTCCCTAAGAACACACCCCTCCCTCCCACATCTGGAAGGGTGTCCCAGGGCCCCTGGTGTCCACCCCTGAGTCCCAGGGGCTGGAGCCCAGTCTTAGGACTCACGTGGATGAAGTAGTTAGCATATGTGTCCTCCTTGGTGGCAAAGTGGTATAGGTCGGCCAAGTACTCGTCCTTGGAGACAGAAAGGGGAGGGCTCACACTGGTGAGGCTGGGGCCCAGCGGGGAAACTGAGACCCAGGGTTAGTGACTTGTTCAAGCTCTACGTGGAGGGCCCCGGTCAGTTCTCCTCTCTCTGGCACGGTCTGCACTTGGACACGGCCCACAGGAACCCCTTGGAACTCCTGAGCGGTTTTTTTTACAGCATCTAGACCTCATCTCTGCACCTCACACCCTTAGCACAGTGGCTTATGTCATTTACCATTCATTCCTCGACTCACCCAGCAACCCCGCCAAGACCGTGGCCAGCAGACCAGGTCCCTGCCTCCCAGGAATTATGTGTGGTATAGACAGAAGAGGCTATGAGCTCGGAGGCTGACTGCCTCGAATTCAAATCCTGGCTCTGCCGCTTCCTAGCCGTGTGGCGTTGGGTGAGGCACATCACGCCTCCGGGCTTCAGCTTCCCCTCCTTGAAATGGGGACGGGACCCGCCCTTGGCACCCTCCGGCCACCCAAGGAACTCCAAGCGCCCGCTCACCTTGCACTGCTCCACCTTCCTCTTCAGCTCCTCCTCCTCCTCCTTCAGCGTCTCCACCTTGGTGGCAGTGGCCGTATGGCTGTAACCGCCGGCTCCACCGCCCAGGCCCTGACCGCAGCCTGAATTCTTAGCTGCCTGCGTGAGCCTGGCAACGATCCCAAGGTGGGGTGGTCAGTGTCCCCCCACTGCCTGTCCAGAGCCAAGTGTCCCCTCCATATGCCTGACCACCCAGGATTCTGGGATTTATGGATGAACATCCCAGAACCCCACTTGCCAGGGGCCTCGGCTAGGCGGGGGCCATGAGTGCTCAGGGCCTCCCCCTGGTGGTAGGCTTGGTGATCACAGCCAGGCAAGGGGTGGGTGGGAGATCCCTGCTGTCCAGGGATCTTGGAGGATCATTTCTGGCTCTCCTAGGCTTTGGGGTCACCCTCAGCTGGTATGAGCACGTGCACACACTATGCCCAGTGGGCCCTGCCACACCCTCCGAGTGTGGGTTCTACGGCCACCTCTGTGGGCTGACCTAGGCGTGGGCCCCACCCAGGGGCTCTGGCTCCCACCTGCTCTTTAGGGTGTTCCAGTCGGACACCAGCTTCTGCAGGCTCTTCTTGTGCTTGAGGATGGCGGGCAGGTCCTCCTGGGGGTAGGCACGGGGGGGGAGGGGGTCAGTGGGCTGAGGAGGTAAGAGTGGAGGCTGGGGACGCTGGCGAGGAGCGGGGCTGGGGGCAGTGGGGAGGGTCACCTCACTCAGCCTGCTGAGCGGCTGCAGGACATCCCTCTCCAGAGTCATCTCAAACTCGGCCAGAATGCGGGCCAGCTGGTTCTGAATGGCGCAGCTCATCTCTAAGGCCTTCCTGTGGACACAGCACCGGTGGGCCCAGCCCCCACAGCTCCTCACCCCCATCTGGAAACACTTGGTGGGGCCTCCTCCCTCCCCATCACCCCCTGCCCCTTCTATCTCTCCTTCATCTTTTCTCAGTCAAACATCCTCCCAGGCCTGGCCGCACCCCCGACCTGGACACTGCCCCCCCGCCCCCAGCACAGCCACTACCCTCAGCCTGGTCATCCTTCCACAGGGGATGCCCTTCCTCACCTGGACCCCCCCTCCCAGCCCAGATTCCACCCCCCCCCGGCACCTCTGGGTGAGGGCTGGGGCCTGGTCTGTGCTCACCCCATGCTGGAATCGGGGTCCAGCTCCTTGAAGCTCTCGGCCATCGTGGTGGACAGAGCCATGAGGGGAAGCTTCTTCTGCAGGAAGGCCAGGGTCTGGCTGTGAGCGTGTGCTCACCTGCCGGGTCACCCTCCACCCCACCCAAGCACACAGACAGCTCCTTGGGGACAGAGCCCCATTGAGGCACTCGGTATGGACAGGGGAGGAAGGAAGCCAGGAGGGCTACAGTCTTAGGTGGGAGTGGAGACAGGAGGACGACCGGGCATGGCAGAGCGACATCACCCTGTGACCATGTCCCCCCACCCCACTCCATCTGGGGTGCCCTTTTCCCCTCCCAGAAACCAGTCAACTGGGCCTGAAGGAACGACCAAGTACCCTCACACACCAGAAAACTAAGAACAGGGGGCATGGAGCGGGCCCAAGGTCACACAGTTGGAAGGAGAATGGAGGTGAGTGGGGCTCTTCCCCTGCCCCAGGGCATCGGTGGCTCGCACTTAGTCACAGCTGAGCTCAAAACCCTCCCACCTAGAGTTAAGAAGAGCACCAGCTTGAGTCAGAAAGACCAGGGATCAAATCTGTTTTGCCACTTACTAGCCGTGTGACCTTAAGACTTTACCTCTGTGTGTTCATTTCCTCATCTGTACAAAGTGCTAATAAAGGCAGCCTCCTCCTAGGGGTGTCCTCAGCGTGAAGTGAGGCAATGCATTAACAGAGCTTAACAACAGGGGCGCCTGGGTGGCTCAGTTGGTTGAGGGACTGCCTTCAGCTCAGGTCATGATCCTGGGGTCCCAGGATCAAGTCCCACATCGGGCTCCCTGCTCCGCAGGGCGTCTGCTTCTCCCTCTGACCCTCCCCCCTCTCGTGCTCTCTCTCTCTCTCATTCTCTCTCTCTCTCACATAAATAAATAAAGTCTTTAAAAAAAGTCTTTAACAGACTGGCAGTCATCAGTTACAAATGCTCGCTGTTGATTAATACCAGTGAGTATTAATATCAATTCAAATGCCACTTCCTTCAGGAAGCCCTCACAGCACTGCCTCCGTTCAGAGGGCCTGCTCTGCTCAGCTCTGGGGGCTGTGAGAAGTTCAGGTGCTGTCAGAGGCCTGGCCTTGGCTCAGGGGATGGGTGCAGAGGAGGCGAGGGTCAAGGAGGGGTGGGGAAGAACTATAGCCTCATCAGTGGGGTGCCTGAGGGGTCTTGGGACAGCACAGGCTCCGCCCCCTTGGTGTGCCAGAGGCTCGGACTAGCAGGGAGACCCCAGCCCTGACCTCACTCCCCCACTGAGAAGAGGTGTCCTGCCTGGGCCCCAATTCCCTGGGACCCCCACTCACCACCCGCTTGTCCATGTCCGCCCCACTCTGGCCCTGCAGACAGGCCTGCAGCCGTTTGTGGACATTGTGGGCTGCTCGCTTGGCCGGCTCCAACCGCTGCTCCACCTGGGCAGGCGGGGGGTGGGGTGGGTCAGAGTTTATGGATCACGGGAGGTTGTTGTCCCCCACCCCCCTCTGCCCTGTTCTTTCCCAGAGCAGGAACCACCTTTCTCTTCCCTCCTCCTGGAGACCCCACGGCCAACAGCTTGGGGAATGACTCAACCCAGCCCCCCAAATGGCGTCCTGGCCCGGCCCTCTGCTGACAGCTTGCGCAGGCCTGCCTTGCCACCCGCTGCCGGCCCAGGCATGTACCTGCTGCAGGTCCTCCCCCAGGAACTCGGCAGTCTCCGGGGTGCTGTGGGGGAGGGAGGAGCTTCTGCTGAGGTGGCCCAGGTTAGGAAACCCCCTGCCTCCCCCTGCCCCTTCAACAGGGCACCTGGACCCCAGTGGCTTCCAGGGCCCCTCCTCGTTGGGGCCCGCCCTGGGTGGGTGGCCGGCCTGCCTGCCTCATCCCAGTCGGAGCACATTCCGTGGGGGCGGGAATAGGATACATGGCTTTTTCCTCCTCCACCCAGGGCTGTGTCCTGAGAGAGAGAGGATGAAACCCAAGGCGGTGGGGTTGGGAAGCCACCTCAGCCTCTCTGGTGTTGACCCTGGGGAGAGGAGGCTGGGCCAGCCCCAAGAACGGGAAGTGTGCGGGCTCAGACTCCTGGGCTGTCGGTCAGTAACACAGGACTCCGGCCTGGAGGGCTGTGCAGGCCCTCAACCCCTGCCCAGGGACACATGGGGACACTGAGGCCCAGAGCAAGGGGGCCTGACCGCCCTGGCTCTAGTCTCCCACTGCACGGATGCCTGTGTGAGCCTGGACACTCAGTCCCCTCCCCTGGGCCCAGAGAATGGGAAACTCCCAACACAGGGGTAAGAGGAGAGAAGATAGGCCCCCGGAGCTCCCCAAACTTCTGGCCTCCACTCTCATCGGCTCTGGGGCCCTGGGGGTGAGAACAGAGACACCCGGGGATGTTTCCACCTGAAGCTGGGAAAAGCAGAAGCAAGATAGAGAAGCTGGAGGCCTCTGGGCTGGGGTGGGGTGGGGGGAGAGGCACAAAGCGGGACAAGGCAGGCCCCTCCTCCCACCACACCGGGACCTAGTCTCCTCCCCTCCCCCCCGAGGTCTGGGGCCCTGATCGCACCCCCCCCCCACTCCAGGCAACCGTAATGACTAGCTGTCCCCATTGTACAGAGGGGACAAGTGAGGCCAGGGAGGACCGTTCGCTCAAGAGGCTCATGGAAGCCGAGAAGACCCAGCATCCTTGATCCTCCCTGCACGCAGAGGGGTGGGGGTGCCCCCTTCCCCAAAGGGCCTTGCCCCTCCTTCTCTGGCCGGGAGGTGGGGGTGGCATTCAGAGGCGGGGGGAGAGAAAGCAGGCCTCTGGCCAGTCAGAGGGTGGCTGTCCGGCCGTCCCAAGCCTCCCCCACCCCTCCACGTCCTCCAGGGTCCGGCGGGGGCGAGCGTGGGGCTGGGAGGGCGCGGGTTGACACTCACCGTCCCAAGCTGCCCGTCTGGGCCAGCTGCCGCATGCGATGCAGCTGCCTCTTCATCATCTTGGGCGCGGGCTGGGGGCTGCGGGGTCACGGTGGGGGGGCGAGGGCCCGGCAGCCCCCGGCCCAGCCTGCCTGCGCCCGCAGCGCCGCTCTCGCCCCGGATGGGTGGGCGGCGCTCTCCGCTTCCTGGGCCAGCCGCGCTCCGGCGGCCGCTCGCTGCCTCCTCCTCCGCGCGCGACTCCGCCCCCGGCCCCCAGGTCACTCCTCTCTCCAAGTTTGTTTTCTCGCTCGCCCCCGGCTTCCGGGCCCCCTGCAGGCCCCCCGGCCGGTCCCCGCGACGGTCGGGCAGGCGGCCGCCTGGCCGTCCACAGGTTGTGTGGTGGCCCCGCCCCCGGCCCCGCCCCGCCCCACCCCGGTGGCGGGAAGCAGGTAAGCCAGCTCCTGCCACCAGCGCGGCCGGACTCTGGGCTCCGCCCCTCCCGCCGGCCCGTGGGCCCTGGGTTTCAAGAACTCCTGCACCCCTCTTAAAGGCAAAGAGGGTTCCATGCTTGGGAGGCAGAGGCCAAGGACAGGCCTCTCCAGCCCGTACTGGCCTATCTGGGCCTGCCAAAGGATGCTGCCCTGGACTCCCTCTCCAAAGGACCTTCTGGCCACCTTGAGCTAAAGATTGCCCCTGCCCGCTCCCCTGCTGGAGACTGGCTGGGGACTTTGGCTTCCTGGGGTCACCTCGCTGCTTTGTGTCCTTGGACAAGTCCCTGGAACTCTGGACTTGCTGTCTTTAATGGTCTGATGGGCCAGGACAGCTGCCTGTCCCTGAGAGTGCACAAGATAACCCTGCCTATTCCGGTTGTCCCTTTGGGGGGGGGTGTCCCACCCTCCAGAGCAGCTCCCTGACACCCGGCTCCTTCCCAGCCCCAGCACAGTTCCCTCCATCCATTGGTAAAGCTCCTCCTTCCAGCAAACTTTTGGAGTCCTTGCCCTTCTTCTTTTAAGGCAGTGATGTGGGTGCTGCTCTGATCCCCCAAACTCAGTAGTAGTTATTTCTTTGGCCCTCCACCCAAAACACAGTTGGGCATACAGTAGGTGCTCTGTAACTGTTAGTTAATACAAGATGAGGGACCACACACAGTAGGCTCTCCTTACTCTGAACCCCCATACCCCCCAGGCATCAGGGGCCCCAGGGATGGGGGGAGAGGGAGGGACATCCCTACGGTCCTGCCATGCCCCCTGTCCTTTACTTTGTTGGGAGTTTTAACTCAGTTTGAGGATTATTTGAGCACCTACTGTGTTTGGGTGGGCAGACTGAGTACTTCATGAGGGCAGGATCTTGGCCTCAGACAAGGGATCCGGCACACGGTGAGCACTCACTGGACGCTCCTCCACTCCCCGGAAGGGAGAGCCAGACAGGCCCAGTGGAAGTGCGGAGGGCCTGAGAAGTGAACCCTCTAGCTGGGGCTGCTGAGTCAGAGCCTCCCAGCTGGGAGGCCACCTGAGCGTGGAATCCCCTGGATTGAAGGCTCAAGCTGGCATAAGGAGACCCCAGGCAAGGTTCCCTAGCCCACCTCCCTTTTCCCAACCGGGAAGGCCCCTGGAAGGGATTCTAGAAAAAGGGCAGGGCTTGAGGAATGCCTTGATGGAGGGAGAAATCAGAGTCCAGTATAGACCTGGCTTCTTAAAACATGGGGCTGGGGTTTGCAAGGTCTGGGTGCTAGTCCTGGCCTTTGCCCCTTCCTCACTGGCCAGATCCCAGAACATCATGGTGGCTCAAGTTTCCCCCATCTCTGCAATGGGCACAGCCTACTGTGTGCACAACTAGGAAGCCAAAGAGCCCTAAGCCAGCAGCTTGACACCAGGTGCCACTGCCTTGCCGTCTGGGAAGTCTCTGGGTTACATGGTGTCCCCACCCTGTTTCAGCCCTGCCTCCAGCCTGGAACACACTGGGCCTGGGCTTGTCCACTTCCCCAGCTGCTCTGAAGGTCCCTGAGGGCAAGGTCTGGCTTCTACCTTTGTCCCCCCCTAGGCTTGCCCAGGCGGCCTGAGCCCCAGCTCAGAGGGGTCAGGATGCCTGGGCCATAGCAGCGGCAGCTGGAAACCACTGGGACCATCTCATCAGCCCAGTGGAACTCTGGGCCTCTTACCCAGGCTCCCCTCCAGTCTGACCCAAGAGCTCTTCTCTGTCTGGCCTGGGTGAGGCTGCTGTGCCTCTTGGCTTGGGTGAGGGGTATGTTTTAGGGTACGTTTAAGCTTGAGCACACTTGGGTGCTGAATCATAAAGGGTTGGAAGCCCCAAAGGTTGGATCATAGGCCCCTTCCTTCGAAGGATGTTGTAATCAGAGACTTTTGGACTCTGAGGTTTTATCAGGGAATGTCGAGATCGCAGTTTTAGAACTGCAGTTGCAGGAGGGGGGACTTCAGAGGTCACCGGCCAACACCATCTCCGATCACAAGACCTTTCCACACTGCACTGGGAGGGCTCATTGACTTGGCTGGCTCTCCTCCGCCCGGGCTGAACCCTGCGTGGTCTAGCCATGTGCCATGGTCACAGGAGCTCAAGAGACAGGGCTGACTTGAATGCAAGTGAAGACTTTGCATCAATGGACACTTATTTCCAACCCAGAGATAGCCAGAACAGAGCTTGAGTGTGTGTGGCTGAAGCTGGCCAGCTGGGCTCAGCCACTAACTAGCCGGGTGACCTTGGGTCAGGGAGTTCACCTGTCTGAGTCTCAGTGTCCTGGGTAAAATGAGAAGAATGAGGGCAGGTCCCAACAGGTTGCTTTGAGGACTAAACGAGTTCCTACGTAAAATGCTTAGAACAGGCCCTGCTTCTGCTTATCCAGCCTGCACCGTCTGGCATGAAAAGACCCTTGCCCCTATTCCTGCCTAGTTGCCCCCTCCACGTGTCCTGCTGCCTTCTTGGGACACTAGCCCGCTTTGTCACCTACTTTAGCAGCCCCCCCCCCCAGTGAGGTTGGCATCATTATCCCCGTTTTACAGGTGACTAGACCAAGGCTCCAGGCACCAGGCCCCTTGCTGGTTAAGTGGTAGAGACCAGGTTAGAAGGCAGACCTGACAGGCTCCCAAGCCCCCACGAGCTCTCCTGCTGTGTCAGATGGTGCTGCCTGGAGGCTCCAGAATAGCTGCCCCCTCTTTCATCCCCATGGTGCCTCCGGGGAGCAAACCCGGGACAGTCTGGGAAGTGCCAGTGGGTGAAGCTCAAGCAGGACGAGCACAGGGAGGCCAGTGGCTGGCGTGGAGGCGGTGGGAGCAGGGGTCAGCTGTGGGGCCACAGGACTGAGCAAGAATGTCGCATGGTAGACGCCTGGGCGAGTCGCTGGTTTGTGGTCCTATCACTGCCCGGCTCTGAGTGGAGGCTGCTGTCCAGAGCAGCCAGGCATGCGGTGTGATTTCTGGGGCTCTGAGAACTTGCCTGCCTCCTCCTCAAGCCAGAAGGACTTTCCCATAAGGAAACCCTGGGAGCGGCCGAGGCCTGAGGACTGCCCCCGAGAGCCCATGCCCTTAACCCTGGCTCCAGAGAACAGCGGCACACGGAGGGCTCGGGAGACTGGGCGGGGGAGGGGGGGGCGGTGTATGAACACACGTGCTGCCAGAGGGACACCTGGCAGGACTGCTGGTTGGCCTGGCCCTGAAGTGCCCTCAGGCACTTCACACGCTCCGAGCCTCCATTTCTCATGGCCACAGGCAGTTCTGAGGACCAAGGGAGAAGGTGTGAGCAGCAGGCGGGCTCCTGTGTTCTCTGCCTGGGCAGTGACTGGGGGCAGGGCCAGCAGGACGGGGCGCGGATAGGCTCTCGGGCGGGTGGCAGCCCTTCTGTTGCTGGTGGCGGCCACAAACAGATGAGCAGTGTGCTGCGGTTGCCAAAAAAGAAACCCAAACGAGCTGCTGCCTCCAGCCGCATGAATAGAAGTGGAAGTGTGGCTTCAGGGTCTGGGAAGTCCCAGGGCTCCTGGGCTGGAGGGGGGGGGGCGCGGGAGTCACCCTTTGAGAGAGAGAACGCGCCTTCCCTGCTCCAGCCCGAGGGCTCCACAGCCTCTGGGTCTCCTGTGCGCAGCTCAGTGCTCCGGACCTCTGGCTGAACTGACACGCACACGCATTATTTGGGTAAAGACTCCTCCCGGGAGTGGAGGCTGAGGGTCACCTCCCATCATCATCACCCCAGCCCCAGCCCCTCAGGCAGATGCGGGATTCCATGGCAGGCCCCACAGGTCCGCCTCCCTTCCCGCTGTCCCAGTGACATGCTGGGCTCCTGGCTCATGGGTTCCATGCCAGCCTCTGAGCTGACCGTGGGGCCCTGCCTCCCATGGGGGCTGCTCAGGGGGACCCGCGGGACAGCAGACTGTTGGCCGGATTGACTAGGAAAAAGGGAAGGTGGGAGGTCGGGAAGATGACAGGGATATCCCCGTCCCTGTCAAGGCTGGGTCACTCCAAGCCAACACCTTGGGGAACCAGTTCGTTCAAGGACTGTTCAGGCCTCAGAGGGGGCCTTACAGCTCCCTGGGTCCCGCCCCACTATCAGAAAGGAACCCAAAGGCCAGAGAAGGCAGCACCTCGCTCAAAGTCACACAGTGCGCCAGGGACCCCGCCAGGAGCAGAGACTCCCCGCCCAAAGCTGCACACACTTGCACCCCACCCTGCAGCCCTTGCACAGATGCGCAAGATCCTACTGCAGACGGTGCTCCCGGGACCCCGGGGCAGTGGCACTGCGAGCGGGGCCTCATCTCATTTAGAACCTTCCTTCTGCAGACTTTCAGGGGCATCCCCAGTGTCCACGCAGAGTCTGGCCCAGTGGGGAAGGGAACAGGAACCGGCCACGTGGCTGGGCAGGGGCTGGGGGTGCGCGGGGGCCAGGGCGTCTGGAAGCCCCACTGCAGGAGGGCTGTGTCTGGGGAGGGGTGGGGGGTTCCTGCACTGACGTGAAGCTCTCATGAGTGCAACAAGTGAGACCTGGCAGAGAGAGGCAGCCCTCACCTGCTGGATGGAAAAGAGTGCCCAGGCTGGGGAGTGAGCATGCTGGGCTCTGGGAAGGCGTCCAGCCTGGGAAACACTAGGTTAGACAGAATGAAACTGGTTTGTTAAATACAGGACTCCCCATCATCTGCTAGGGGGGAGAAATGGCGGGCAGCCTTGCCCAGGCTTATCTCGAGGGGAACCCTTGCCTGCAGAGCAGCACGTAGGGCTGGCTCCACACCACTGAGCAATCCCCTGCACGAACTGCCCCTTGCCCGGCTCTGCACTGGCTCGTTCTCTCAGCTGAGAGGCTGCGCCATTCCCTGGGGACTGGACCCCATTCCCTGGGGACTGGACCGGAGCCTCCCAGGGAAGAGAGAACTCTGGTAACA